GATAAATAATTGCGAGTTTCCCGAGTAACCTCTGCTTGCGGATATTTATCGTCGCGAACCAGTTGTTCTTTTATACTACCCATGTTATGATTATCTAAAAGCACCCAAAAGCGAGGGGACATTAAATCTCATTCGTCTGTCCGTCTTTCAGTCTGTCATGCAGTCCGTCCATTCCAAAAACTTTAATCTTACCCCTAACTTTTGATTTAGTGGTGCTGTGACTTTCGCATTTCACAAGGATAATAATTTTAGACAAGACCTTTCTTTGGGTTCCATTAAATTTAATCATTTGATCTTAACATTGAATTTTATTTTTTTTTTACTTTTGCCATAACTTTTGAATGGAAGATACTCGGACTCGTTTATATCACATATATTCTTTGTAGCAAAACCTTTCATTGACTACAAACAGTTCTGACCTTTGACTTGGGAGATTACTGTACTATTAAAAAAAAGTTTTTACCTTGGCCATAACTTTTGAAGGGTAAGCGCTATCACTTTTTTACTTGACATATGTAATACACTGTACTTCGGGGAGGTCATTTCATAGCCTACCTCAAACTTTTACCCTCTGGCCTTGACCTTTGAGTTGACCTACTTTTTATAAACTAACCTTTACCACAACGTTTGAAGGATGAGGGCTGGGATTTCATACTTCAGATATTTTATCCTTGTGACAAGACCTTTCATTGGGATATAGAGAACTTTGACCCTATAACCTTGACCTAGTAGAGTGGACTACTTTTCAAAAATACTTCCGAGAGGACATTTCATAGGATACAAAAAACTTTTACCTTTTGGCCTTGGAGTTGAACAAATTTTTAAAAAGCAAACATTGACTATTACTTTTGAAGCGTCATGCAAGGGCTTTCATACTTCATATATTTTAATCCTTGTGACAGGACATTTATTTGGATTTCAAGAACTGTGACCTTTGACATTGACATTGGCGTTTAACCTACTGTTTAAAAACTTTAATTTCGGTCAAAACTTTTGAACGGATAAATCTAGGGCGTTCATACTTCAGATATTCAATATTTGTGACAAGACCTTTCTTAAGAATCCAACAACTTTTACACTTCAACCTTGGAGTTTGGCCTACCTTTAAAAAAATCCTTGGCCATAACTTTGGAACAGGTGATGCTAGGGCTTTTATACTTCACAACCGTATTTCTTGTGAGAAGACCCTACTTTGGGTAACAATACATTTTATTTGAATTCAAGAAAAGTTTAATCTTTGAAATGTTGCAATACGGGGACATCGGTGTTTCACAACACATATTATTCCTTATATTGAGAAGAAATAGGGCGTACATATTTGACATGTACATTACCTTTAAGAAGATATTTCCGAACATTCTACATGTATTATATCTGACCCTTTGACCTAGACCTTCACGATTGACCTTATTTTAAAGCAATATGAACTGCATGTTTGACATCCAAAAATTTTGTTGCAAATTAATAATTAACTATTTCAAAGACAGAAAAATAAAACATCATAAACTACTTTTTCCATATTTTCGACGAAATTCTTTTTTAGCTTTGATTGAATGAAAATTGAATTATTGTCGTCCTGTACAATATTGATTTCTTATATAATACTGTATATTCAGTTATACAGAGATATTTCTTCTGAAACATTTTTAAACTTTAATTTGGGCTTATTGGTCATACATGTCATAAGGGTTTAAATTATATACAAATTAATCACAATAGCAAGCAAAATTCTAAAAAAAAAATGTAGCTCATATTGCCGTAAAAAAAATCAACTTCGGTGACATTTTCTAAATGACATTTGATAGGGAATTCATAATTTGACAAAATGTATTATAAAAATGACAAAATGTATTATAAAAATTGCATCTCACCCACAAAGACACCGGGGGACCACAATTCCTTGAATTTGCTTGTGATTAAAATTGTATTTATAATCAGGATGGCATTTATTTTAGTACATTTTTTATATCGAATAGTTGTTAGGTTTATAATTACATTTTGCGGAAAATAAGTTTTTATATTCAAAGTTGTCACGTGACGCGACAGTCTTGTGATTTAAGCACATTAACTTGCAGTATTGAGGTTATCTATTAAACTAGTGCAAGGACATTACCAAATTAAAATTCCAAGTTAAGTTTAGGTATTTTCAACACGCTTTCTTGTTGCTGGAATTTCTCTGCTAAAATTATATTGGTATGACTGAATGCTGTATTGTTTGCTGTACAGCGTCTTGAAATATTGATAGAAAGAAATTATTTTCATGATCGCATCACTTTTAAGATTTCCTAATACCTTAATACTTCTACAGTTGATCTGTAAAAGCTTATTATGATCCATTGAGTGTATGCCCTTGCACAAGACCACTTTATTAAGAACCTCACATTGCCCTCCGAGATAGGAGATATACGGAAAGTATACATGTGTATTTAATAAAATCGCGAAGTAGAAATTGAATCCACGTTAATGGCCTAAAACATATTCATAAATAATATTAAATTTCATTATTGAATACATTTTTCGTTGAGAAAAATATAACTTCATTTGCATCTCACTGCATACACAGTGTATCAAGATTTACAAAATGACGTCACATCGACAGGTGCATTGCGATCAGTGACTTGCACTGGGTGAAAAAAGTGGTTTCCCATCATGGGAAACTTTATGGAAACCACATGGAAACCTCAAGTTTACATCATGTTTCCCAGTGGTTTCCGTAGCGGATGCTAGGTTATTCCGCCAAGTTTCCGTGACACGGAAACCCCCTACGCTCCGATTCCATAAGGTATCCCGTACCACGGAAACCTCTGTAAACCTGAAGTTTCCCGAACATCCATGTAGTTTCCCGTAATGGGAAACCTGAAGATTCCACTGGTTTCCAGAATCAGGAAACTTGATGGAATCGGAGCGTAGGGGGTTTCCGTGAAATGGAAACTTGGTGGAATCTTTAGGTTTCCTTGTACGGGAAACTACATGGAAGCTCGGGAAACCTCACGATTCCTAAAGTTTCCTTGACTCAGGAAACCATATGGAATCGGAGCGTAGTGGTTTCCGTGGAATGGAAACTTGATGGAATCTTTAGGTTTCCTTATACGGGAAACTACATGGAAGCTCGGGAAACCTCACGATTCCTAAAGTTTCCTTGACTCGGGAAACCATATGGAATATGAGCGTAGTGGTTTCCGTGGAATGGAAACTTGATGGAATCTTAAGGTTTTCTTTTATGGGAAACTACATGGAAGCTCGTGAAACCTTATGATTCCTGAAGTTTCCTTGACTCAGGAAACTATGTGGAACTTGTGTAGCGCTTTCTGTGTGGCGGAAACTTGGTGGAATTATCTAGAGTCCCATTCCTGGTGGAAATTACTGGGAAACTTCAAGATTCCCTAACTTTTCTAAAGGAAGCAATGTGAAATAATGGGTATTCTTTTAAAAATCTATCAAAAAAATTTATTACAAGTAAAAGAAAAAAGCATTTCCATTTTATATGTTTAATAATTCATTTGATGTACAAAAACTGTAACTGAATTTTTCAATATCAAAATATTAAATAAATTCATATATCTTAGACAAGTTTGGCTTTCCAGAAAGCCTGAAATGTCATCTCTTTGGTATCAATAATGTCAAAGAAATAAAACAGAAAGGCAAATATTTTAATGCAATGAATATATGGATTATTACATCTGAAGTTCCCAAATGACTTATTCAGCAAACTCCACAGTAAAGTACGCAGTTTCTTTTGGCCGCAGTATATATATGGAAAGCATGGACGTCTGCGAGAGCACCCAAGGCGATTTTTGGTGAAATTTCATTCTAGCGGTCTTTGTGCTTCTAGGTGTTTACAATTTACTTAAATTCAAATACTTTCCTTGAACTTAATTTTCTTAACACAATACGGAATTATCAACAATAATTATCATTCATTTAAAAGCAGCTAATCATTAAAGTTTGACAGGAATTAATTTAATAAAACCAATTACAGACTAAAAAATTAACATAAAATTAGCGTTGACCTCTCTTCGTTCTTTTTTTTTTTTTTTTTTGCAGAATCTAATTGTAAGCTTGTACTTTTGTGCGAGAACCAGTTTTCCCTCCGCTTCAACAAATCTATCGATATATATAGAAATCACGTCATTGTCAGTTCTCCTTGTGAGGCTTACCAATTTAATAAGGCATAGTATTGAGGATCAATATACGTATATACGACACACCGAAACTATAGATATTTATAAGCATCGCAGTTCTTTTCTAAATTTTCTTTGGCTTTCAAATAGGCCGAAACCGAAAGTAGATAACACACTCCTAAGCTAGTTCTTCTAAAAGAAAACCAGTTTACAGGCTACTTGGAACTCTGTAAAACATCGAGGACTCCCGAAAGATTAATGGAGGCTTACACTAGGACTTCACTTCCGGCATACAATCTTAATATGTCATCTCCCGAGGGAGATGACAATAAACAATGGAACAGTCTTTCACATTTAAGTCCATTCATAAGGGTCATTAAGTACTTCTTTCAACATCAGTTTCCTGGTTTTCTTCACATCAATGCAATATTCATACAAAATTATTATATGATGTCAGAATTATAATGCTTGAATATAACTTAGAAATCTGAGAGATCAGTCAATGTCCTTTAATATACCAATATCAATAATTACTTTCCATGACCATGATACATATGATTTCAGCATTTAATGTATCTCTTTAATATTTAATGCTTTATGATAAGTGAAAAAAAATAACATAATATAAATAATGTTTTCAGCCTTATTATGTCATTGAGAATATATTACTCCATGTATCTCATAGTAAGAACCCTGCTTTAAGTTTGATTAGTTTGAGAGAAAACATACCCTTTATAATAACAAAAATATTAGGGAGAGATTTTTTTTTAAATTTTGATATTCGACCTAGAAATTGGTTGACGATCATTGCAGACCCTCCATCCCATTGCACAAAAGCTAGATTACACCAGATTTTAAATAAAGATATACAGTAGATTTTGATACTAACCTTTGACCTAGAAAATTAGTCCAAGGTCACTCTTCATCCTCTATCCACAGGCTCTCTGTAGTTTAAGTTTGAGAGAGAAATATGCACAGAACAAGTGATTTCAGATGGAGTGATGGGTAGACACTGTCTTAGGGCATCCACAGAACAGGACCTAAAAATAATGCAATATATATGTATTACAGTATATATAAACAAGTAATTTAATTTTTTTTTTTTTTACATATATTGACCAACATTATTTACATCCATTCATCATGTTCATGAATCGGCTGATCAAAATTCAGTCAGTTTTAGATCTACATGATATACCATAAAGGACTTTCACATTTACAAAAGTTATTCCCCTTCGCAGGGTCGATCTGGGGTCAACCGGCTTAAGACGCTGTTTTCCCTTTTTTACCGCATCAACTTTGAGGGACAATATCTTAGAAATAAAATCTGTATGGACATATTCATTATGATTTTCATGTTGCCATCATACTCTGGCAATACAGATACAGATCGTAATTGTCCAATATTTTTGAAGATTGAAAATATTAACAAGTAACTTACAAAGGACAAAGTGGGAAAAATTAGCGATACGCCGACAATTGGAGAAAACTCTTAGGAATGTGAAATTCATCTATTGGTGATGACAATTCCTGTTTTAATGTCACTGAAAAATTAAGAGACATTAAAAATTTAAGCCCTATTGTCATACACGCATGCTGTTTTTTCATCCATTTAACCTAGCTTTTAGTATCATAAAACTTACCAAAATTTAATACTTCAAATAATTTTACTTAATATCTATAAAATAAAGGAAACTCTAAAAACTTAGTGACTTGCAGAAATTCTTCCTTTAAGAGAAAAAAATCTATCATATTTCATATAAATATGTGCATAATGAGCCTTTTTTATTCATTTAGAACATATGGTATGTGCCTCATTTCCCCAAGAAAATTTCAAAGACAATGGACTATCTGTAAGCAGAAATCATTGCTGTTTACTTACATTGGAAAAATTTATGAAAATAATTAATTTCCTATTTTTTTTTATTTTAAATAATGCTAAAAATAATTTAATCTATTAAAAATAATCTAACTGACTGTAAAATAACATTTTTCATAATCTTAATCTATGGGCAGATCACTCTAACTTCATAAAACTACCTGATATTAAAGTAGAACTCTTTAGTGTGCAGTTTTTAGAGCTTCCTTTAAGTAATCAAAATACTGACCAGCAAGAATTCAGTTAATAAGCATTTCCTTTTTTTCATTCAAATTTTTGGAGAGATCTCAGAGTTTTTTTCCTGTTCAATTCAGGTCCAAGACGACAAAGTTTTATTGAAGTGTATGTATTAGAGAACTGATTGTATGTCAATCATAGCAATACACACATAACATGGAGGGGGCAAATTGTTTCAGCCCTAGCTTTTACATAAAACTTCTTGTAGCTCACAGCTGATATACCACAGTTCAATATTTAAATAAAATTTAGAATCTTTTTTTTTCAGGCATTTGTCATATACATACTAATCATGAATGAATTACCACTTACCAAATGACCACATCCTGAATCATCATACATTTTCTATGATTTTATCTCACTGGTTTTCTTTTAAAGTCACACAGTTTTCTTCTCTCTGAAATGATAAATTATGTCCAGGTACTATTGCATTCTAATTTAAACTAATTATGTAATAGCATTAGCAACAACCGGGATGGAAGAAAAAATAACCAGAAGTCTCTGTCGAGACTGTAGCTCTACTGGTTTGTACTTATCAAAAACTGATGCACAGAATTATGTATCTTAGTATAGTCTACTTGTGTGCCAAGTTATACTGAAATCAGACTAAAATTTAAGGAGGAGTAGTTTTTGCAGTCAGACGGACAGCTAGACAGATGGACGGACGCATTTCTATTGCATAAGCTATTATGGTCTCTGACCAGTAGAGCTAAAACCAAGATGCGCTTGTGAAACACAGCAACAAAGTTCGAAAATGCAATTTTTTTTAGCATACAGGTCACAGTCAAGATCACATAATCATTGTCCTTGTTGCCATTTGAAAGCACTTCATTAGTGGAGTATGCATACTAAATATGAAGCCACTATCTTGTATAGTTCTAAAGTTATGGTGAAGGTTTAAGTTGACGACAGACACTCAGACAGACACACAGATATACAGTTATGGCAAAAGTTTGAACATTATAACTTGGTATACACACAGCCACTTCGAGGTATCAAGGGTAAAATTCACAGGGATCAAGGGTTTCGAGAGATCAGGAGTTCGAGAAATCAAGAGCAAATCTGCTTAGTTATATAGTGGAAAAAATCGGGACTGGAGACTCACTTCAAGCGATCAAGAACTTCCGAGAAATCGAAGTTCAAGCCATCAAGAGTTACCTGCATATACAGATATAAGATTAAGAAGCATGTTATTATTTGCAATTTTGACCTAATCAATGACAGCTAAATCTGTTCAGTAAGACAATACCGTGTACATGTATGTAAGTAGTTTTATTGTGCATGATTATTTACTTATTTTCTTGATCTTCTCAACTTGAAGTGTTCTGTATTTTATTACCAAGTTTGTAATAAACATAATGAAACATACCCTTTTCCACATCACATCCTGTATCAGACCAAGTCCACCAATATCAGCCCTAGGGCCTCTGTCCCTCTGGCTGATATTGGTGTCTCGGGCTAGGATGTGATATGGAAAAGAGTATGTATTATTTGCTATACACTGACCTACTCAGGTCAATAATTGTGAAACAGGGCTCTCACACCACTTTTTGGGACTGGGACCGGGGCCGTTCAAATTGGGAAAATTACCATCCTTTTGGGAAAAGTTGGATAACCAATGTTCATTTTAAAAAATCCTCAAATTTTGCTTTTCTAGCATTTTGTCATCTATTTAACTCTGGTTTTGAATACAGATCAAACATGGGTATGTAGGCTATTTATGAAAGTACATTAGCTTTTTCATTACTATCTTTGAGTGTTGATATTGAGGTTATCTGTCTTTCTGAGTGACAGTCGCTAGTCACATTGTCCCGAATTTCCACGATCACATGGACAAAGTTGCTTACCAATACAGCGCGAGACTGATCATGCCGAAGCGTGCATGGGTATGTTTCTACATGTTCTACGTGCAGCTTACTACCGGTAATATTTAAGTGAAATGTCTTTTTTTGAAACCAAAATTATGTTTTTTTGTCGAAACTACATGACAAGATACTCTGAACTCATAGTACACATTTCGGTAAAAAACAATAACCTGGTTCCCCGAACCAGTTTACGAATGCATTTGGCATGAACTAATAAAACAGTGGTACAGTTTCACTTTCATTTTCAAGTGTGTTTTGTTTGGGTTTTTTTTTTTGCGATTAAGTTTCATGGACTTTTATTTTTTAATTAATATTTTGCTATGAAAATTGGGAAATTTACATCTTTCTTTTGGGAAAAAAGGTACCTTTTTTGCATTGGGAACGGGGCCGTTGAATGGCCCCAATTTCAGAGAATGGAGAGCCCTGTGAAAAAACTCATAATTCAAGCTGATGATTCATTTGCATTTCTTGACATACTATCAATATTAATTCACTATTAGGCTTTTCTTTTTTTACATCTTCATCTCAACAGGTTAGACATTACCAACAAAAAAAATCTTTTGAGCAGTAAACTATTTCAATAAACAATAAAACAAACCTAATCTCTTCAGAAAAGTGGACAAGCTTTCACCTACATTCACTTTTTATGTATATTTTCCTCCATATCATCGTCATGCATATGATTAAGGGTTGTGCTACAGTATTGACTACAATCTATTCCAACTGTTCTGATGAGGATATCCTTCATGAATAATCGGATAAGCTGAGATTGAAGACACTTTTTGTAAACATATCGATGCTTTTATCAAAGTTTTGAACCAAAAATATTCAATTTATACCTTGCCATAAGTCGTAAGTTCCAAAAAAACAAGAGTTGGCTATCCGAAAAGTCAGAAAACACACGGCGCGTCGATTTACCCAAATGGACCCAAATGGACCCAAATGGAACCCAAATGGACCCAAATGGACCCAAATGGAACCCAAATGGACCCAAATGGAAATTCAAATGGACCCAAATGGAAATCAAAAGGAATATTAAATATGTATTATCGTATTTTAATACTTATCTAAATGATGAAAATAAATTAACTTACAGTTACAAATGGATTTTTTAAACTTAAAAATCTGTAATATTGTATTTTGATACATGAAGTTTTGATAGTATCCTATATACCGGCAAAATTTTTGGGGGGTAGGGGCAGGGGGTGGCATGGCCTCCACCCCCCCCCCCCACCCCCACCTCCGTTCCTACGGCCATAAAAAATATTAAATACTTCAGTTTTGTATTCAAGTATGTTCAATAATAGTTATTACAAATAGAATTAAATCGCATTTTTGAAAATACAATTGAAGAAAATAATGATATTATAATATTTTCTATTTGTTTTAATTTCATTATTCTCTATATTTTAAATAAGTAGAAACTTGAAATAAGATATAATATATATATTTTATATTCCATTTGGGTCCATTTGATTTCCATTTGGGTCCATTTGAGTTTCCATTTGGGTCCATTTGGGTTCCATTTGGGTCCATTTGGGTCCATTTGGGTTCCATTTGGGTCCATTTGGGTCCATTTGGGTAAATCGACGCACCCAAAACACATGTATTCAAACCGGATGTTCTACAGTCTGAATTTAACTACGAAACCATGCTCGGTGTAACTATTATCATCCGGATAATTTGAGCGGGGTTAAAAATATTTTTTTTTTAAATTCCGAAAAGTATTCATTTATATATAGAGAGAGAACATACATATGGAGCATACGTTTTAATAAACATGATAAAAGGCGAAACGTTGCCATTTTACAACATATAGCATGCACATGTATTCAAACCGGATGTTCTACAGTCTGAATTTAACTACGAAACCATGCTCGGTGTAACTATTATCATCCGGATAATTTGAGCGGGGTTAAAAATAATTTTTTTAATTCCGAAAAGTATTCATTTATATATAGAGAGAGAACATACATATGGAGCATACATTTTAATAAACATGATAAAAGGCGAAACGTTGCCATTTTACAACATATAGCATGCACATGCACGGTGCCTTTGGGGCCTCCATAATCTAAATTATGCTATATCACTGTCTTAAATTTTTCTCTCTCTCTCTCTCTCTCTTTCTCTCTGCAATATATACACTTAACAATTTAAAACTTAGGTATCCAACTTTTCAAAATGGCGTCAGAACAAAAGTTGCCTCCGATAGTGAAGATTTGTTGTTGCCAAATATTACAACTATTTACCGTAAAAAGTTAACAAAAATATACGTAGACTAATCCTTCATCGTTGGCCATTGCATTTATCACAGTCTTAAAGACACTGGGTGGTGAAACCATCTTAACTTTTCACATTTACTAGCTGCTTACACCTTCTTCTTCGTCCTTCTCGATCCTCCAAAAATGGCGCCTCGGGAAATTGACCAATGAAATAAAGCGCCTACAGAGCGACGCAGGATGGGAAATATTAACTGTTTACATTCACTATGATTAATTAAGTTTTCCCCTTTTCATGGACTAAAAAGAGGGGCTCCTAAATATTTTTGCCGATATGATGTGTAGGCCTAGTATATATTTAGAAAAAAAAGCGGTTAAATACATGAGGCGGGCAAGAGCAGAAAAAAAAATGTTTCTTGCTTGACACCTCAACTTATTTGCCTTCGGGATATGGGTTTCAGGGCTTGGTTGTTGGTAGTGGCCGTCCTTGTTGAAAGTAATCCCCCCTCCCCGCTTCTTTTAACTGTTACATGTATGATTATGAATTTAAAATGTCACACCAAAAGATGTTAAATTTTTAAAAGCACATTTTTTTTTATTGTGAACTTTCCACAGGAATCCTAAAAGGCATGAAAATGAGCTACAATTATAATATGATTATCAAGAACAGTTTTTTTTTAATTTCAATAGTGATGATTGAAAAGTTCGGTGATTAATAATTCATTGCTAATAAATTGTTGTGTTTTTTTGGGGGGGCGGGGATTAAATTACTAATTGAACTCCCTCCTTTTCGGGGTTTAATTACATTTTGAGCCTGCTATCAATATAACTGGTGGACCTGCTAGACTTTTCTCTAATTGCTACATGTACATTGTACTTTAAACTCCTTCGCCTTTAGCTAAAAAAATTTCCCACATCATTTTAACACGTAAAATTGTTAAATGTATCAGAATGTTGAAAACCTTTTTCTTAGGAGAGTTATATCTCTAGGTGGAACAAAACTAACATCTTATCAAAGGCAGGAAAATATAACAGTATTTTAATTCAGTATTTTAGTCGTGATTGGCATAAGTGAAGTCATGGGAAAGATTATGTCGAAAGTCATCTATACTCGTTGATGTGCAGGGCTGTACTTATGCATACAGCTTTAGCTGGTCCCGCCCTGTATTTCTTTAATTTTTTTTTTTTCGTTAAGAAATCTGGTAAGGTATGCTAGTAAAAATAAAACCCCGGTTAGTTTATTACTCTAACGGAAATTACTTTCCTACAGGCCTGAAGATCGAGCCTATTAGTCACGCAAGTTTTTTTTTTAAAAAAGAGTAGCATGTCGGCGAATAGAGATAAAGTAGTGTACAACATAGATAAAGAAATGTTTGTTGAAGTATTGACAAACTTCATACCTTTATAGAATGAAATCAACAAAAACTGCACAAAAATACAATCGTGACAATTATACAATGGATTAATTATACAATTAATTCTTTTAATAGATTGCCTTAGCATGCACTACTTTAAAAGCCATTGTTCTTAAGGAAAACAAAATCATGCAAAATATTATAGACTTTTCTTTATCTAGAGCAAAGGCCTTTGGAGAAAAAAAAATGGCTGAAAATTTTAAAGTTTGTTAAATATAATGTATGTACATTTAGGACCCTACATTGTAATTTCATGCGAAAAGTGCATGCGTTTACTACACGGGGGTCTGCGTACATATTTAAACAAAAAAAGTGGAAAGAAAAAACGTTTTATGTGATGGATTATATTATAAACATTTATCTAATAAATGTCTTTGTAGTACGTTAGATTACAAATCTCACACAAAAAACCATCAACAATATTAAATACAGTTTTGATTTCACATTGATCTATTAACGTCATTCTGATTTAATATAATTATACACGACGAGAATTAAGATCTATTCAGTACCTATAGAAAATTAATTAATTTCTAAAGAGGATAGTTTTATTTTAAATCAGTAATGAAAATTGAAATAAAAATTCTAAATAGTTTGTTCTTTCATTGAACTTCTTAAATGTAGGTTATTTTATAAATATGTTCTCTTGTATAACTTTATTTATGGAATATACAATTCTTTAAATGATAAAAGAAACACGAATCATCATCTTAATTTAAAAGAATTTTCTGTCGGAGACTGTGTGTGTACATGCTCGACAACAGCCCATTGTTCCCTTTAGGTACAAAACCGTCTCAATTCACATAGAATATACAAAAAATACACAGTGACAGGTGTCTTCGAGGCACGTGTCTCCACCTGAAATGGCACGTGAGGACAGGTATCCCTAATTACACAGGCCGACCATAGTGACTTCCCCAAAAGCGTTTTTTTTTTTTTTGGGGGGGGGGGGGCTTCTCAAGGAAAAAATGAAAAGCAACGCACCCACTCCCAATAATAAAAATAATTATTTAATAAATAAAAAAAAAAACCAATATTCACTATTAATAGTAAAATACTAGTATGATAATACTCAACCCCCAGCCAATTCGATGAATGATTCTTATCTGACCAGTTTATATTAATATATTAATTCATATTAAAACAAAATCTTTATCACTTTCTAAACTTGTATTTAAAAACTTGAAACACTAAAAATGTAATTTTGACAAACCAACTGAAGTATTTATTTCCTGACGGATTACCCCGGTATATAAGAAATGCCAACCTCTGGTATCTAACACAAATGCCTGGTAAGGTACCTTGATGTCTTGTGAATACATGTAATCATGTAAAAATAATTCTTCAATGTCAATTGCAAAATATTGGGAAAAAAATTAATTATTTTATTGAGGAACGCCTCACCTGTCCTTAATCAGTAATCGTAACTTGACATATTTCTTTATTTACTTTTAATCGATCTTTTTAGTAAACCTTGTCTGTAAATAATTTCATTAAATGTACCCTTCCTTAGCTCTTCCATTTTTTCAAAGGAACATTCATCATAGACAGCTTCAAGAAAGTGGGATCGGAAATGATTGATTTCTACATAACTGCATGCACCTACTTTTTTCTATTCCACTTCACGCATTCTATACGAGTTTACCAAAACTTATGTGATAAATCAAATTCAAAATTAAATTAAATTAAATTAAATTCAGTTAAATAAAATTAAATTAAAATTGAATTGCGTTCACGGTGCTGAAATATTAAATAAATCACACAGAAATACACATCTAGTTATTTTAACTGTTTGAAGTTAATTATTTTGATACAGCATATAAACACTTTTGAAATATTTCTATAATTGGTAAAAATATGGTAACATAATTAAATATTTAACTTTTTGTAAAATAAAAGGTAGGTGGGTTAGTATTGAGATATACTTTCAAAGTTTTCCTGCCTGGGAAACATGGGGAAAACTACACATTGGTGGCTTCCATGTCGGGAATCTGTATGGAAACCACTGAGGCATGTTTACATGGTTTCCTATCTTGGGAAACTTACGGGAAACCACAGGTTGGATGTTTCCATATTGGGAATCTACATGGAAACCACCGGGGCATGTTTCCATGGTTTCCTATTTTGGGAAACTTACGGGAAACCACAGGTTGATTGTTTCCATATCGGGAATCTATGTGGAAACCACCGGGGTATGTTTCCATGGTTTCCTATCTTGGGAAACTTACGGGAAACCACAGGTTGATTGTTTCCATGTCGGGAATCTATGTGGAAACCACTATGTGGTTTCCATAAAATGGAAACTATATGGAAACTACTGATGTCACGATTCCCATATGTTTCCATCGGGTTTCCAAATTTGGGAAACCTGGCTTTTCATCCTGTGTTGTCATGTGGGATTTACCTAACGACACAATCATTCTGTAGTAAGTTTTAATATAGTTTAATGGTTTCCAACTGATTAAAATAATAAATCACCAAATTTTGTCGCATTTTTTAGCATGTTGATATTGTTTGACGTCACAGTTAAGTTTTCTACGTACATATTAGACTCCGTCTCTTCTTGAAACTTTAACTGTTCTGCGTAGAGAACGGGTTGACCGTCCATTTGTCTGTTTGTACGTACGTCTGTCTGTTACGCTTTGAGGTACTCATTTCTTAGCCGCACATCCTCTTATACCCCTGAGAGAAATTTAATGACACTTTCTCAGAATCTTTGATACATAGTGCACTTTTGCACCATCCATTTAACGTCTTAACCAGACACATATTTTGAGGTTCCCATAATTCGCAGCTCATTTTTTTCTGGTAATTCCATGTGTTGCAATGGTGACTGAACTAAAGCAATCTAATTTACTTGACTAAGAATTGAACGTGAAGTTTATATGCATACATGTATGACTTATGAAATTCTTTTTTTAACTGATAATTTCTTTTATACATAAATGTGCATTTTAGCACAAATGTCAAGTATCTTTATGAATAATAGTCCTGCGCACTCTTGGTAAGTCACCACAACAACGCACACTCGTTTGTGATGGAGGTATTTTGTTTTCTGAAATTACATTACGCAAAAATGATATATAATTATAGCTATCTATGCCATCAACATTACATATGTTACATATGTGTATCTTACCACTTAATAAATATATCTAAGTCAATTGCGAAAAGAGTTCCTTAGGAAATGTTTTAGCATGTTTTTTCATTCTTTTCTGTATCTCACTATCATTTTTATATTCATGAAAACATTAAGCATTTCTTATCTTCTTACAACTGCCGATGACATTCAAGTTATATATAAAAATAGATTTTATGAATGTCATTCCTGACTTTAAACTCGATAACCTGTTAAGCATGAAAAGAATTCAGTGTCTTTCTCGGAATCGATAGGATAAATAAATCAAAAGTCAATCACGAAAGAGTTGGATTTTCCTGCTTTCGGTTTCTTTGTTAGACATGGCTGATTCAGTAGGAATGGGTAAGGACTATGTTTTTTCTCCATTAATTGTAATCTTTTCATTGTTTTCCTCCTTTTCTAAATAAGAAAAAAGTAGTTCATTACTTTTGAAGGAACTGAATCTACCTGCATCTTTCCTTGTCAGAATAATACCTTGACAACTCCCAGTGGTAAGTTAGTTTATGTATATTTTTAAATTCCTTGAGAATAGTGATGAGAAAATTTTACATCAACAAATACTTTTATATTTTTATCTTCCAGTTGAATCTTTGAGGTAAGAAATATTTTGTTTAACATTATAAAGGTTATTTAAAGTTCATCTGAAGGGATATTTCCATAAAAGAATTTGTTCACAACCAAGATTTTTTTTCAGTGGAGGAAGCATTGCAGGTATTGTGATCGGTGTTCTTGTTGCGATTTGTGGTACAGGTGGTGGAATCATACTTTGTAGAAAGTTTGTCTGCATCGAAAAATCAGGTACAAAACAAAAACAAAACTATAATGTGATTTTTTTTGTCGTAAAGCAAATTCGTATGTAACCTTTGTAACAAGGTATCAAAATGGCAAATTCATAAGATTAAAATAATATAAACCTTCTTGTCTTGTAACTTTCATTTCAATAGTTAATTTAACCTTTACCATTGTCATTCAGCAAACCTGAAAATTTTGCGAGTGGGTGCGTAGTGTGTCTTTGAAGGGTGACATAAGGGGTGTCAGTAGAGAAATGATATACAAATTGTTTGAAGATAGGGCATTTGCTGGCGATTTTGACGGCCATTTTCCGAATGACCGCTGTAAAGAATGTTAACCCCCATAGAATACCGACCTGTGGTCATTCTTCGACGTCGGAAAATGACCTTTTGCCCGTAGTAAAAGTGACATCACCTTCAAAATCTGCGACCACTTTGTAAAGAAAAATCCCCCCCCCCCAAAGAATAATGACCCATTTTAAATCCTTTTAAAGTTAGAATAAAGAAAATAGTCCGTCAAAATTCCCTCTGAGCTAAATTTGGAATAAATCGATGATATACATGTTAATCTCATTACCTTTATACAATTAAAGTTTTTAAAGTTAATACATGTACCATGAATCAGAATCTTGAGGAGTTGATGATTTATCGAGGCGAGGCGATTGTTTTTATTTTAGTGGAAATTTTTCGTTTTGAAAGCAACACACCAATAATTGTTTTATTCAACGATGAAATTTATACATAAATTGAGTAAGCAGACATGTAAAGTTTCTTGTTTACATTTGCTCAAGTCCTACCCAAACACCTTAAGGGAATCGGGATTGACATATTAATTTTGCATTTAAATCTATAAATTGTGCAGTATAGAAAAAAAATACTAGTAAATATCAGTCGTAATGGCAAAAGAAAATGGAGCATTATGAGAAACAAAGACGATAAGAAATTTTTGTCGAACCCCCCAGAAATTTCTGTAAGAAGTGGGGGGGGGGGTTCCTTATACAATTCTGTTTCAATAGGTTTGATGTATGCCGCCCATACATGCAATAAACATTTTCAAGAGAGAAAATAAAATTTACATTCAAAACTGCAAGGAGTAGGACAACTCACGCAATATTCTGAATATAATGTTCTCTTTTTCCACTCAAGTAAGAGAGATTTATTTAGTATACTATATAAAAAGAGGAAGGGGTCATTACAAGACTTTCCATGACTTAAATTCTAGTGTCGGGTGTTTGGCGAAGGGACAGGAACAGGTTTGACGAGGCAACATGGGGATGAATATGAGACGGCCCTTTCTACCTCTAATCGCCCGTGTGACGCAGTGGTTAGAGTGCCTAATCTAGAGTTGCGAAGTAAGGAGTTTATCCTTACGTCACGACTGCCAATCCCACTGTAAGGCATGGATACCGGCCCTACAAATGAGACTATAAACCGAGGTCCCGTATCGCAGTAGGTGCTGTCACGAAAAAGGTCCCTTACTGCTAAATGGCCCTAAAGCCGGGTATAGGACAAAATTTGCAGCTCTCCGATCTACCTCTCCATAAGAGTGAAAAATTTTCTGGAGGGACGTTAAACTACATACAAACAAACGATTAATCAGTCTCTCTCTCTCTCATTTTTAAAAAATAATGAATTTCTACGTCCTGTAAAAATACACAAATATAACATCTTTATTTAGATAGTTCAACACAAACAAACAATGGGACCATTAACCAATTTAACTGTGAAAATCACCATTACAACAACGCTGTACAGGCAGTTGAGAAAGCAGTACAACCATACAGTACAAATGTACCCTTTGATCTGATACGGTTTAAAAAAAAAGGAGAAATATCTTTTGAACGTGAGGTAAATAGGTTCCAAGTAAAACATAAGAAAGGTATTTTTAAAAAACATCTTAATTTATGAGAAAGATATTTTCAATTGTAACAAATCTTAATCTTGAAAATTTGATAAATTTATAATATGTATAAATTCTCTGTACACAGATAAATGAACGAGATGCATCTGGAAACGAACGACAGGATAAACAAGCATTCAGAATTAAATTTGGATAATAAATACTTTTTCAACGTTCAGCACGCATTTAAGAAGAAAATAGTCTGAAGAAAGAACTTTATTTTTAAAAGGGAACAAATTTTTTAAACGACTCTTCATTAAAGGACACTTATCTAAAGAGAAAAAGTTACACATAACTTCAAATAGAATAATATTAATGTCAGTTCGATACATTTTTATAAAATAAGCTTGGGATATAAAAAAAATCAAAGTTAAAATCGATATGTTTTTTGTTTATTTCTAATTTTTTTAACATTTTATACCAGGAAAAAAATTACTGTATACTTAAATGCAGACGTATTTCAATATTTATGTCAGAGCAAAATACCCGTGAGATTATCCACGGGTAGGTACTTTATCAATAGCAATTCTGTTTGTGACAAAATCCCTCCTGTGAGTCGCTTCAAGAATTTAATTTATTTAAATTTTGGTATGTAACAATTTTTGCTTGATTGATATCAAAAATAAATATAAAGATTCATCTAATTGAATTGTGGTTTCTTTCTTTTTATTTCTTTGTTAGCAATACATGCTTCATTTTGAATAGAACTCTCTTTCTTTCTCCATTAGAACATCAAGTATATTGCATAAACACATGTATGCGAAGGTCACTTTTTTGTGGAATAGTAGGAAAAACACCATCTGACGATTCTTTGCCCATTTTGATACTTAATTTATAAATCGTTATCGAAAAAAAAACACAACTTCGTAAGTAATTTGTGCGAAAAAATTAAACAGAGTGTTCAAATTTATTCATGATATATTGTATTTATGCATCACATAAAACCATTTATTTTAATTTGCCTCAATCTTTCAGCTTTTTTGGTTTTGGAAGTAATTTCATTTTGTTTGAGTAGATGATTTAAATTGAGAATATTTTTTTGAAAAAGCACGATTTTAAGGTCAGAATCAGACTTTGAAGAGTTTCGTCCTCATAAAAGTGTCTTTATATTAAATCAGATTAGATAAATATCATCCCTTATCCCTGAAAGGTTCTAAATACTTCGATATTGTTTGCATAATTTTCCTTAAGGTGACAAAATATACCGATATGCAACACATGTGCTGTGGAACTCTGCATACTTTATAAATGGTAATAAGATGTGCATGGTTGTTTCATCGCAAGGTTTCTCTTTGTATAATTGTTTTAAAATCAGGATATTTGAGATGAAGTGTATAGACCCTGGTATTGATTTTCAATGTCAACATTAATATGAATTAATATAATTAACCTGCAAGTAAGTAACCAGACATTTTAAAGAATTCCTAAAAAGAAATTATCACCTGTGTACCAATTTAATTTTTAACATAATATCTAAAAGCAGATGATGGATGATCCTGTCTATAGTATTCATATTGAAATTAAAAAATATTTAAGTAGACAATTTTTACCGACACAATTTTTAAAAAAAATCAGAAATGTAAAGTTACCGCTGCCAGTAGGACTTTTTCAGAACAATGTGTGTTTGTGATATTTTAAACGCCCTTAAGCAAATTTTGATGCTGCATCTCATACTGCGAGAAAAAAACAATATCCTTTACGAAATATATCTATGAATTCACAAAATACAATTGATGAATGCCCCTAGAACAGGAAAAGAATCACAGAAATAGGATCGAAAAATACAATGTGAAAGAAGTGCAAACGATAGCATTGTTCTGCCGCCTATCTCTTAAGTTATTTAACAAAAGTTAACATGTTTAAGTGATTTTCAGTATTTTTATAGATATTTCTATGGATTTTCATAAAACATTGCTTGTTTGGGAAAATAAAGAGAGATAACTCTAAAAATTTCGGTAAACCCTGTGTTTTTCACTATGAAAATCAACAGAAAACGGAAAATATTTTAAAAACATCCCCCGTGAAACAAAAATATCCTTTTTCCAGGACCTAGAATAAGGGATAATTTACGATTTAGCGCTAGTATTAAAATAATTAATCATTTACCATTGATTTGTTGTTTGTATTCACCGAAGATTTTTAGGCCAAATTCCTATTAAAATTGAATTAAATTAAAAAAAAATGAAATGAAAAATATGGATGGGAATCTCGAGTTAGTGTGCGTAGTTCTTTACACGCAAAATACAAAAAGGACATTTTTTTATTTTAAAATAATGAATAACCCAAACCACCCAGTAGCCCTTTTCACAAAAATTCTTACGACTAAGATTAAAATTTGACACCTCTGATAATTCTTTGGTTAAAAAAGAAAATTATTATTTCAGACGAATAATTCACAGTTTACTGTAATGTAATAAAAATATAAGATTTTTTGTTACCTACTACAATTTAGGAACATATGGAAAAATTGGAAAAAAATAATCTTAGTCGTAAGATTTTTTGTGAAAAGGGCTACAGGATTCCTTATTGTAGGAATTACAATTAAATCACTTCTGTAACTGGATTCTTTTTTTTAAATCAATAACCAGCTCAGTATCCGTTTAAAAAGAATTTACATTCTTTCCCGAAATCGATAAAAAAAATTTAGAATTTCAAAGCTCAGGGTATTGGGTTTTTCTTCTTTCTGTTTCTTTGTTAATCATAACCGAATCATACGGTGAAGGTGTGGTGTATTTCTTTCTCCAACTAACTTCCATTTTATTCTCTAATTTTCTTTCTTTTCTCGATTAGAAAAGTAGTTAATCAATCTTGAAGGCAATAGACCTATCTACAGGCTCCTTGTGTAAATTATACTTCGACATCTCCTAGTAATTCTATGAATATTTTTAAATTCTGTGTCATACCGGTAGTTAATGACAGTTTTCCTTTGTTTACGTGAGTAAAATAAATTAGGATTTTTAACAGTTGAAACTCTGAGATAAGAAATATTTTATTGATATTTTAAAAGAATACTTCAAGTTTATTTAGAGAATAGAGATTTGCTTTAACAATCCAAATACACAAAGATTCAGAGACTTTTTCACTAATTGTTTTTCTTTTCAGTGGTGGAACCATAGCAGCTATAGTGAACGGTGTTTGTATAGCACTTTAAGGTGCAGGTGTTCAAATAGTAATTTGTAGATAGTTTGTCTGCCAGGAAAAATTAGATACATAAAATTATATCAAAAAGGCTATAAAATTAATTATGGGAAATAGGAAAACGTAAATACTGTAACAGGTCTTTTCACTTTCCTTTTGATATTAATTAACCTTTTTACCAATAGAATTTGCTTGTAACTACCATCTTCATCAAAAGCGTATATTTTGTTATAGATAGTGCAACACAAACAAACAATGGGACCTTCAACCAATACACCATGAAAATCATCATTACAACAACGCTGTACAAGCAATTCAGAAGCAGGGCAGCCATACATGTACCACACAAATGTACTCTTTGATCTTAAACGGGTTAAAAAAAGGATAAATCTCTTTCGAACGTGAGTTATATTAAACATTAGATGTTTACATGTAAAACGTTGAAGCAAATATCACAATTTTCGGAATATTTATTGAAACATTCAAAGATAAATTGAAGCTCTTGAAGTACTTTAAACGCCTCTTTATATATCACTGCAGGAGGCAGAAATCAGGTCATTTTTTTTATTGAATTTTGGCACTCTTAATAAAATTTACGTCATCAGACATGCGACAAGTTCCTTTCATAGATTGCCTCATTCTATTGGTTGTATCTTTTTAATGGGGCGTGTAAATCTCGGGCGCTCTAAGTCCTCGATTTCCACACCCCATGAAAACGATATAATCAATACTACTCGGCATCTATGATGTAACCTATACATAGTTTCTAATTATCTTGATGTATTTAAATATATATATCATAATTTATAAATTGAAATTCTCTATATAGATAAGATATGGATCAGAATATCTTCGACAGGAGAAAGTAGCTATTGAATCTGAATTTGGTTAATGAAGATTTTTTTTCAACATTCAACACAGCTTTTAAAAGAGTATAATCTAAGAAAAGAACTTTTTAACAGAACGGAATATACATGTTCTTATTTTGAAAATCTTTTCATTGAAGGGCAACTGTTCATAGAAAAGATTTCTGCATAACTCAAAAGAGAATAATGTTAATGTCCACTTCATAAATTAAAAAAAATAGCATTGAATTTCTAATTATATGCATTTTGATATCGATGAGTTTTTGTGTTCTTTGTAATGTTGTTTAACGATTTCATACAATAAATAAATTTCTGCATGATCAGTTGCAATCAACTATATTTATTTCATTGTTGTTTGCAACTGATCATGCAGAAATTTCAATATTTAATTCATAGCTGAATATTGGTCTATATCAAAAGAAAAAAAGATACGACAGAAAATGCAGTGTCCAATATCTACTTCAAAGTGTATGCCCCAAAATATACTATCTGGGATAATAGAAAAGAGAAAACATTATATAGGAATTTTCAAAGACAATTTTTACAAATCGAAGGTAGAAATAGCTCAGCTTGCCGATAGTCTTGTTTTCACCATCAATAAAGAGAGAAAATTGTAGAAGCACAAATAAAATATATTAATAACGGATGTAATAAGCATTTGAAAAGTAGATTAAATCTCAGATATTACTGCGACTAGGGAACTTGGTTTAAAAGGTCTTTTCCAATTGCTTATAAAGTTGTGTTGTTTTTTTTTTTTCAGAACGATCGCTGTTTGTTGTTTTCACATTACAGGATAGTAAACGTCACATGTTTTGCATTTTCAAAAATCTGTTCAACACAAGGAAAGTACATATCTTAATTGCATACAGTCATGCACGGTAATAATGAAATTACAAGTGTTGTTCGTAAAGTGTTTGGACTTCTGTCATTATTATTTTAGTTAACGTCTTATATTTTTACTGTAAAATCACATATTATAGTGGGGTCAAACTTTCGAGGGTTGAGAAAAATTTACTGATGTTTGGGAATTTAATTTTGTAGTTGGAGAAGTGTTAAGTAATAATGCATACTAGTATATAATTTTACATTTCGTGGTGGTCATATATTCGTGGGTCTCTCCATTTCTTGAAAATAGCGAAATCAAACCTCCACGAAAATTTGTGATTTCACAGTTTATTGAGTAGAAATATCTTATCTGCATCCATACCTAGTTCTTTTGTAACAAACAGAAGTTTCAAAAATTTAAATCATGGAAATGTCGTAAACGACTTTGAGAAAAATGACTTTTGACTTCTAATTGATCAAAACATTATATAAAATAGAATATAAAAAAATTGAAACATTCTACATGGAGGTTATTGAAAAGTATAAACAAGTGAAAAAAGGAGAAATTGCACAAATCACCACCTTTTATGAATAAAGAATTAAGGAAAGCTATCTATTAAAATGTTTTAACAAATAGAACAATTATCCCAACTGAAATTTGGAAAATAAACAGAAGGCAAAGAAATTAAGTGAAAAAATTAAGTGAATAAACCCAGAATTTATTCAGTAAGAAATTATTTGTTAGAGAGCTGTTTATGGGAACTTATAGATAAAAATTCTGGCCAACTATAAAGCTATTCCTGACAAATG